AGCACCAGATATGAACTAGAAATTCTACTTCTGGCTTTTCAGTTCCTCCAGTCCTTTGGGTGGCTTGAGGTTGTAGGTTGGACAGGATCTCCGGTTCGAGCTACCTGGCTGTGTGGTGTCCTAGGATGCCAAGGGTGGGTGGGCAGGTCTGCTCTGTGTCTGGGCAGTGGCTGGAGAGCTGGGGAGGCAATGTGGGGTGCAGCAGATGCATCACAGATGGGGGAGCAGCTGTGGGTGCTGGTCTCAGCCGCACGCTGAGTTCCTGATGGGTGCAGAGTGGAGCTCCTGGTGGGAGGAGGCAGTGTGGGGTCTCTGGGGAGTCTGAAGGGGAGGGATACGCCCTGTGTATGCCTCACCAAGAGCAAGTGGTGCGCTGTGGAGGGCGGGCCAGGGAGGCTAGGTCTGGGGCAGCTTGCTGAGTGGGTAGCTCATTGTGAGAGCCCAGACCAGGAACAGTGAAGAGCTGGCTGGGGATCCAAGGACTGGGTAGAGTTGGGGGACAGTGGGGAGGGGGAGGGGCGCTGTGCACTCAGCTAGGTGCTGGGGGAGTGGGCGGGCGTCCAGCCTCATCCAGGAGGACTTGGGAGCTGTCAAGGACAGCACCTGCCACCCCATCCGTCCGCAAGCACCACATCTGGGAGATGCAGGACTCACTTAGCCCCACAGCCTGGAGGACACCGACCCTTCCCAGAGGCTTGTTCAGGAAGCGAGTACTGTGCTCGCCTGGCCGGGGTGAGGGTCCAGCACTGGAAGAGGTTAATGTTCCTGGCTGGCTGCGCCAGGCAGCTGTGTCACCTGACCACAAGCAGGGCCGCATGACAGGCAGCTGACGCTAATGAGCTGGGTTTGAGCATCCGGAGGTGCCAGGCAGCTGCCCTCAGAGCCTCTTCGGGAATGGGTGAGAGCCTCCCCCAACTCCTCCAGCTCCCCATCCACACAGGCCCGAGTGGCCTGAGGACGCATGACTAGCCACTGCTGACTGTTAGTGCATCGGCAGCTCTGCAAGCCAGGTTTTCCCTGCTAAGGTACGCACTGCTTGGTCTTCGCTCCCTGCTGTCATGCTTTTGAGCTCTGCCTTGCCAGTATTGAGGGACTTAAACTGCACCGTTTATCCTAAAACATTGCCATGCTCAGAAGGCTCCTGGTGTCAGGTTGAAAGGGGTCCCTGTGGTGTCCCTGAGTGGGTGCTGATGCTGTGCCTGCTTCTCCTTTGCTCTTGGAGGCAGCCTCTGCCTCGGCCTGGAGGCCAGGCAGGTCCCTCGTGGGCGCCTGCCGGGTTGGGAGTGGACAGGCCTCGTGGGCCTGCAGTCCAACCCTGGCGAGCCCGAGCTGGGTCCAGGGCACCGGCCCAGCCGCCGCCACACCTCCTGGTGACGGTGCATGGTCAGGCTGGAGCAGCCTGGCTCTGCAGTTACTGGAAGCTGTGCGCTGTGCTCGCGGGGTCTGCACCAGGGCAGCTGAGCTCTGTTCTCCAGATGCTGTTGGGGACATCCACATAGCGGTCATGGCCATCGCGGAGAGGGTGCCTGGGCTCAAATCGCACTGCTGCCCTTGCTGGCTCTGCCATGTTGTGTGAGCGTCCTGGCCTTTCCCAGGCAGGGAAAGGTTGAGGATTGAATCTGAACCTGCACCCTGAGCCGCATCCCTAGCCCTCTGTATTTTTTAGTTCTCTCTTTTTTTCTGCGGAATCAGAGATTGAACGCAGGCCCTTGTGCTTGCCAGGCAAGCGCTTACTCTACTAAGCCTTCTCCCCGGCCCCTGTATTTCTGATATCAAGACAGGGTCTTTTTTTTTTTTTTTTTTTTTTCCGGAACCAGGGATTGAACTCAGACCCTTGCGCTTGCCAGGGAAGCGCTTATCCTACTGAGCCATCTCCCCAGCCAGGTGACCCATGCAGCCAGGCCAGGTGACCAGGTGGGGCAGGGGCCAGGGCCTGGGCGGAAGTGGCTGGGCAGAGCCACGCGCCCTGTCTCTGACAGTGACTGTGGTCCAGAGCCCCGAGGTGCAGGTGCCTAGCAGGTACGCAGGCAGCTGAGGACCCAGGTGTCCCCCACGTTCGTGCAGATCCCTGCACTCTCCTGCCCTATACTGTACCACTGTGCCTGGCTGAGGACTCTGGAGCTGGTGTCGTCCTTCCCAGAGCCCGGGGACTGTGGTGTTGGGGTCTCCACCTGGCCTGGTCCTGGGCTACCTTCTCTGCAGTGGCTTCTGCCTTCTCTGCAGTGACTGCTGCCCCTGTGTTGCTCTGTTGGGTCCCTGGTGTACAGTGCCAGGACAGCTGTGGGCATTGCCATGGCCCACAAAGTTCTCACAGGGGCCACTCAGTGACCGGGCGGGGCACACAGGGTGGTGCCAGGGAGGTGTCCTTGAGGCCAAAGTGGCCTGTGCAGCTGGGGAAGCTGGACAGATGGTAGGGTGGGCGCCCTTGCCTCTGGGCTCCAGTTGGCCCAGAGCCCCTCCTCCTGTGTCTGGTGGGCAGACACTTCAAGTGGACTCTGGCCCACACCTGTGAGAGTCCTCTGCCTCAATCGCCCAACTGCCACTGGGCGCTCTGGAAACTGAGGCTGGGCTCATGTGTGGGGGTGGGGGAACTAGCAGTGTGGCACCAGACACTGACCTGACTTGAGGGCCAGGCCCCGCTGCTGCCCTCACCTTGACTGCCTGCCCCCCGCCCGGCTTTGTAACACACCCGCCAGTGCCGTGGGGCCCTCGTTGGGAAAGTGTTCCTGGGCCAGCCCTTCCCTGGCAGGGGAGGCAGGTGCTCCCAGGGAGGGACAGCAACCCTCGGGAACGGGAGGCGTGGGGCCCTGTGCTCCGGTCCTTCTGTGCTAAGGGCAGAGGATCGCCACAGGGAGCAAGTGGCAGAGTTGTGGCCTGGGCCAGGCCTGTGTCTGTGCTGTGTCCCTTGGAGCCGGGGCACTGTGTGACACTGTTCCTGGTGATAGCGCCAAGTCCACTGTCATCCGTGACTCATCTTGCTTTCTCCCAGATGACGTCTCAGGTTGTGGCCAGCATGGGTCCCTGCCAGCTGTCCCCAACTGGGGACACAATCCTGGAGGTGTAGTGGTTGCTTATCAAATGCTGTGGAGTCCCCACCAAGTACAGCTTAATTTACCACCCGTGCAACTATCGGGGAGCCCAGGGCCCGTCGCGGTCACCTCTGGGTGGGATCAGCAGGGCGCAGGGGGAGCAGAGGAAGGAAGTGGCTGCAGGGCTAGTATCCGAGGACAGCCGCCGTGGCCAACGCAGCCAGGGACCCGGGACAAGCAACGCACAGGATGACAGTGTACAGGGCACAAGCAGCTGAGGGGAGACAGACGCACGGAGAGTGGCTGAGCACTTCGGGCCTGTGGAAGACCGCGCACACAGAGTGCCCTGCACCGGGCGACGCTGGCCAAGGGACTCCACGAGCACGCGGCTCGTGGCGGGGACAGGAGGCTGAGGCGCACCCACTGTCCTGGGCACCCTGTGAGTTCCTGGGCCACGGAGAGCACTCAGATAGGTGGACTGTGTGCTCTGAAACCGCTTCCGTCCCTGTGTCCTCAGTGGGTCACCAGCGGTTGGAGGTGGGGGATGCAGGACACAGTCCACTCATGCCTGGTGACGTCTGGCCTGCACACTCACACTCTTACATGTTCCCAGAGCCAGCGATGCGCTCAGAGGCTCCCGTGCCTGACAAGTAACGCGTTTCCAGCCTTGCCCTTCCCCAAGAGCCACACAAGTCCACTGAAGGCCCACGGCTGGTTTTGGTTTGGAAGGGCAGGCTGCTTTGTCTCTGGCCTGGCCTTCTGTGAAGTTCATAAATGCTTGACAACCAAGTGAGACAGCACCAGCCACAGCAACCCACGAGTGGAACTCCAGCTCCACAGCGCATGCCAGCACTTTCTCTTACGTGCGTGTTTCCGACAAAGAGCTTATCGATGAGAAGTAACAGAATGGTGACATCTGCTCCTTCCGGTGTCAGGAGCTTTCAGTTTTAAGAGCTGAATGCACGTGTGTCTGAGCTGCTTAGGGACACCTGGCTCTGTCCTGGTGGCCCGTTCGGGGACCCCAGTGTTTATGCAGCGATGGTTCTGTGTGAAACCCCTCCTGGCAGGGTTGTCAGTCAGGCAAGGGCTTCGTGGATACAATGCAATCCCAGAAGTGTCTTCAGAGTTCATAGAAAATATCAAGTTAGTCGAAGTTAAAGTCACTAAAAAAAGGTGCTTCTTCATGCTCTTTGCGCTGCAAGTTAGCATAAAGTAGCTTTTTGTGTGCACGAAACAGTCCCTTGGTTATTTTAGGTTTGTTGGGTCAACATGTCATTGTCTTCTTCAAAGCCTGTCTTGACTTTTGAACATTTTACTCAACCTAGATTCTAAATTCCTTGGCACCTGTAGCCTTCTGTCCTTTCTTTGGTTCGAGCCCCAGGATACAAGGTAATCTCTACACCATTGAGTGACATTTGCAGCCCCTTTTTAGCAACTTTATTTTTGACAGGGTCTCACTAAATCATCCACTTTGGTCTCTAACTTGTGCTCCTCATGCCTCAGCCTCCTGAGCAGCTGGCATTTCAGGTGCGTACCATCTCACCTGGCTTGTTCCCATTCCTGATGGCCCAGAGCGTCCTCCGAGATGCAGGACAAGATCGCTGATGCAGGGTTACCCACATCGTCCTGGCTAGGCTGTTCCCTCCACTCCCTCAAGGGCACAGTGTCCTCTCCTAGGGTGGTGCTGTGCTCGGTCCTCTCTTAGGACTGTGTGGCCATAAGTTCTGAGAACTTAGGCTGCCAGTTCTTCTTTCCCTTCAGTGACCTGAGTGTGGTGACCCTGTCCTGCTCAGGTCTCTGCAGCCATTGCAGGGCGTGTTGAGAACCTGTCACCTGAGCAGAGCCCAGGTGCATTCAGGATGGCAGGAGAGTTGTCTGGTACCAGCCGGCAGGCAGGCAGTGTCTGGGTCTGGAGGGAGCAGAGCAGGTCAGAGCCCTTGCCAGCGCTGAGCCTGGGTTTCACTATTCCAGGTGGAGCCTGGGCGAGATTCTCTTGCAGAAGCAGTGGATTTGCGATCAGCTGGCCTGGGGGACTCACAGGCAGTGAAAGGTGGGTGTGGCTGCAGGACTGGTGGCAGCAACCTCATGCAGAGCTGCAGCAGCAGCAGGGCTGGTGAGCTCATGCTCCTCGGAGCTTAGAGCCCACGCCACCCCTGAGTAGAAGAGGCAAGAATGCGTCAGAGCCAAACAACCAGGTGGCATCTCCCTGTCACTGCCCCATGGAGCGAGTCCACCTCAGGAGGCCCTCCTTGCACCTTCTGTGGGCCTGCGGCGACACTGGGGAGCACAGCGCCCCGCCCCTGCCCCTGTGGCAGTGCAGGCTCTGCTCTCCCGATCCCCACACCGGCCACGGCTACAGGGAGGACGTGTTGGCCGTGAGGATATCTACAGGCACTGGAACACTCGGAAACCACATTAACTCAACAGCACTTGAGGTTATTTTTGCCTCTGAAAATTTGTTACGCTGGATACCACCATTTGTTAACATTGGTCTTTTTACATGTTCAAAGGGCTGTCACAGTGTGGCAGCTGCACTGGTGCCAGCCACTCTGGGTAGATGCCACTGCCCAGGGGACAGTGGGGGCCCAGGGCTTGATGGAGGCCTGGAGGGGACACAGAGGAAGTGGCCTTCCCTGAAGTGGACCCTGAGATGAGAACTGTGGAGCGTTTCTGCCGTGTTGCTCACAGAGGAGGTCCTGGGGGAGAGAAGAGCTCTCCTTTGGGACTTGCTGCCCTTGCCGATGGCTGTTCCAGCGCCCACAGGAGGGCTCAGGTGGGTGCAGACCCTGGCCCCATATGAGTCCATGCCACTGGCCAAGCAGGGACCACACAGCTGAGGCTCGATGGACACGTGGCTCCTGAACCAGAGCGGTGCAGCAGAGGTGCTGGCTCCAAAGAAGGACAAGGGCACAGAAGTACTGAGTGCCAGCAGCAGAGGACTGGGCTGGGGTCCAGGCTGTCTCTCCTGGTGATTTCAGGCGTGCTTTTGCCTGTCTGGGTCTCAGCTGCTTCTGGAACAAAGCCCTGGATGGGCGGACAACTTGGAGCCCACAGAATCAGCAGAGGAGGCTCTGCGTCCTTCGGGGACCTGGGAGAGATGAGGTGATGCCTGAGTTTCTGTATGCTCGGGTCCTGTGTAAGGGTAGGTTTCAAGTGACAGAATTTCGGGTACTAACGGCAGCATTGCTGAGAAGGGCTGTATCAGAGCCGGCAGTATGCCAGCAGCTGGAACCAGAGGGAAGCAGGCTAGGGCCATGGTCATCCCCTTACCTGTGAACAAGTGTGTGTAAAGAATGTGGACCTACACAAGCAAAGTGGAAGAGCCGGGATGTGAACCCAAGCCAGAGGGCCACCACCTGGAGAGTGTCACTCCTCATGTGGTCTACGTCTTGCAGGAAGATCACCTTCCTGAGGGGTAACGAGCAGAGGAGATGGTGCAGGCCTGGCACTGTCGCTGTCAGCGCTGTCCAAGCCTTCCTTCCTTCAGTGTCCTCACTAGATATGGCGCTAGGGGAAAGCTTTCCCTGTCGAAGACTGGCTGTGCCATCCAGGGAACCTCAGAAAATTCCCCCAGATGACCATATGAGAGGGGATTCTCAGCTCAGAGTCGAAGATCGATGCCTGAAGCTTCATGGAGAATTTGGGGTGTGTGTGTGTGAGAGAGAGAGAGAGAGAGAGAGAGAGAGAGAGAGACAGACACACACACACAGACCAAGACCAACAGATAGATGTAGGGGGTGAGATCTCCCTGCTATTCTTGACCAAAGCCACTTCCCTCTTACTCCTGAAGAGAACAAGGACTCCCACCTGCTGAGCAGCCCCATCGCCCAGCAGCCTGTGAAGCAGTGTCTGGTTCCCACTGCTGTAGGTTAGTGTCTGAGGGCTGGGCAGACAGCTCAGTAGAATAAGTGCTTGCCTGGCAAGCGCAGGGTCCTGAGTTCAATCCCTGGTACTGCGCGCGCGCACACACACACACACACACACACAAGGGTAGTGTATGAGGGAGGAGCGGCCATGTGTGAGCTAAGGGGAACACCTCCCGCAGGTCCCGCTCAGAGGAGGCATTGGTGTGGCCCTAGCTTCTGGGCTCTCAGTGCCCCCTCAGGTTCTCCTAACTCTTGGCTTCAGGGCTGAGTGCTTCCTCTTGGCCTTTGGAAAAGAGGCTCCTGCCTGCCTGCCTGCGACCACGGACACTGCGACTTTACGGGACTTCCTGTGGCCCGGCCCTGACTGTGTGCACAGTGCCTGCTGGGCAGCCCTCTGAAGCGACTCTGCCATGTGTGTCGCCAACCTGAAGTGCACCGTTAGCACCTTCTCGACCTTTCTGGGAGATGCGCGCAGCGGTTTCCACGCAGCTGCGTCTCTCGTGACCCCCGTCCCATCAGCCTGTGAAAGCGAAGTGCAGCCGACTGTAGCTGCGCCCAGTGGCACACACTGTCTTCCCAGCACCCTGGAGGCTGAGGCAGGAGGAGTGCAAGTTCCTGTCCAGCAACTTAGTGACTTGGTGGGGTCTGATTTCAAAACAAATACAAAAAGGGCTGGGATGTAGCTCTGTGCAAAGGCCCTGGTTCCACCCTGGTTCAAAATAAAAAGATGCGATCCTCTTGGAAAGGGCTCAAGCACCATCAGCTGGTGGATGGATAAAGACGCTGTGGGGTTTTGTGCACGTGGAGTACCACCCAGCTATGAAGAACAGGCTTGAGATCGTTCTAGGTAAGTGAATGCACCTGGAGACCGCATTGTAAGCCGAATAAATTGGACACACGTGTAAATACGACGTTCTCCGGCAGGAGAAACCAAAAGTGGAAATAAGAACTGAAATGTGGAACAGATGTTGTGAAAAAGGCAGAACGCTTTCAGGGGCCGGGAGGTAACAAGGGAAATGACAAGTGAGAAAAGGAGAAGGAGCAGCCGAGTTGTTGTGAATGGGGAGGAGAAGGGCGTGAGGGGAGCAGAGGAGAAGAACCCAGGTGCAGCGCTTGCGGTGCAGATTCTCAGGTGAACGTGATCCTTACAATCTCAAACGTACCAGTAAAATCCGATTGGAGAAGACAAAGAAGTGGCAAGAATGATGGGATCAATGCATTTGAAGCAAGGGGATCTCTGGTGGGGGATTTACGGCAATGCGTCTTTTTTTTTTTTGGTGATACCAGAGACCAAACTCAGGACCTTGCGCTTGCCAGGCAAGCACTTATTCCACTGAGCTATCTCCCCAGCCCCTGGCAATGTGTGTTTAATGTTTTTTAACATAAAAAAAAGTTAAAAGGTCTTAAAGAATTAAATTTAGAGAATATGTGCACATTAGAAGTAATGAAATGTGCGTAAAGATAAAGTGACAGATACACAGTGAATACTATTCGTCCATGAAAAGCAGGAAGTCTTGGCATGGGCAACAGCGTGGGCCGCACGAGGGGTGGTAATGCTCTGCCAGGAAGGCAGGATCAGCACTGCCTGAAGGTGCCCCCAGCCCGAGGACCCAGGAGAGCAGGCGTGCGGCTCCCAGCTGGGGTGAGGCCCAGCCTAGAGCCGTTGGAGGAGACACCTGTGTCAGCGCTGTCTGAATGAAGCTGGCGCCTTCTCGGGATGCTCTACTGAGGGTTCCCGGAAGCCTGCACTTGCCGGCCAGGTGGTCATGAGGGTCCGGCACTCAGGGCCCTGAGGTGGCCCAGGCAGCGGAGCCACTGTCCTCACAGGCCCCAGCCTCCATCCCCTCCCACACCAGCAGCTCCACCCCTGCAGGTCCACTGTGGCGCAGGTAGGCTCTGGGCACAGAACTCTGGCTAGGAGTTTGTATCACAAGCTCTGAATTGGTTGGCTGGTGCACGTGGGAAGCACCAAACTGGCCTTTGGTCATCTGCTATTTACACCTCAGTGGTGAGCCATTGGGACAGCTGAACCCAGTTCTGGACGGTTCAGACAGGCTTGAGCCAGTTTTCCCAGTGTGGATGACTTGAAGGAGTCCCCAGCCATCTCACCTTACAAGAGCATGTGTGACGTGGTTGGAGGTGGATTTGGTTACCAGTACCAGCTGAATCAGTGAAGCGCTGCTCCATTTGGACCCCCACAAACCCGAGGTGGGGGCAGAGTCATCGGGTGTCTGCAAGCCAGATCGAAGCAATTAAAATGGGACTCTAATTTTTGGTTAGATTAATCTAGTTTGGGCCAAAGAAGTTTTATTTCAGTCAGAAGTACTTTTGTAGTTTTATGATTGAACCCTTTTTTGTAACAGTCTTGCTAGGTAGTCCAGCTGGCCTTGAACTTGTGGTGATCCTCCTGCCTCAGCCTCCTGAGTGCTGAGATCGCAGGTGTGCACCGCCATGCCTGGATGATTTACTTCAGTGCTTTAGGCATCACGGCCCTGGTCTGGCTGCAGCCTGAGTGGAAGACAGGGAGGAAGCGGGCAGCCTGGGGGAGCCGCCTGCCTGGGGTGGACAGCTGCTGGGTCAGCTCCGACAGGTGGGCGGAGGTGTCAGTGGTGACCGCGGTCTTCCCGGCACTGAGATGGGCGGAGGCGAGCAGCTGGCCTCCCGGGAGACCTTGTTTCCAGGTGCGCTGGCGTCTGGAGCCTGCGTTCTCTAGATGATAAAAGTACAGCATGACGGAGAGGACACGCGGTGAGGGGCCGCGGGACAGCAGTCCTGAGGCTGAGGAAGGAGGCTGGATGTGGCGCGGGCAGGGCCCCGGCGGACCTGGCTGGGCGGGCGCTCCGGAGACGCTGGCACGCGCCTGGCCAGCCCGGTGACTGCGGGGGCTCCAGCGCGTCTCCCGTGGGGCAGCCCGTCCGTCCGTCCGTCCGTCCGTCCGTCCGTCCGGGAAGGCACTGAGTCGGGTGTGGCAGCGAGCACGTGAATGAACGAGGCGGAGGCCGGGGCCACCTGGCGGGCGACACCGAGGAGGAGCAGCTGGCGCCCCGCCACGCCGCCACCGCCGCTCCCCGTCCTCTTGCCGGGTCCCCCACATTCACATCTTGGGTTTTGTCCCGAGGCACCGTGGTGGGAGGCTGGCTGTGCGCTAACACAGCAACCCTGGGGCCCTGCGACAGTGCACCCGGGACCCTCCTCAGAGCTGCTGGGTGGGAGCCGGCTGCCTGAGAGCTGCCTCTTCAGGGGGCTGAGCGCACGTTCACTTGTGTCTTGCAGGTGAACACTGGGCTCTTCACCATGTCTGACGGAGACTACGATTACCTCATCAAGTTCCTAGCTCTGGGCGACTCGGGGGTAGGGAAGACCAGTGTTCTCTGCCAGTACACAGATGGTAAATTTAATTCCAAATTTATCACCACGGTGGGCATTGATTTCAGGGAAAAGAGAGTGGTAAGTTCTGCGCCCTCCCTTACATGTACAGCGTCCCGCCAGTGTGCTGTCTGTCGCTGTGAGGGCAGGACGGGTGGGCGAGCCACGGCCTGGCAGCGTCCCCGACACGTGGAGCCCAAGCTGTGCCCAGCTCACCTGCCCGCCTGCCCGCTGAGTCCATGCACCTGCTTGACCCCCGATGCACATCTGTCAACCCCTTGCTCCTCACACCCTGGCTCTTCTTCCTTGGCCTTCTAGGTAGGAAACCAGGCCTGAGAGGCCAGGAGCCCGAGGTGGGGCGGGGACAGGGGGCTGTCAAAGATTTGAAGCCAGGCTAGGGAATAGCAAGACCTTGTCTCAAGGGATGGGCAGATGGCTCAGTGGAATACGTGCTAGCCTGGCAAGTGCAAGGTCCTGAGTTCAATCCCTGGTACCACCAAAAAAACAAAAAAAAGACCCATCTCAAAAGAAAGTTCACAAGGCCTGGGCTGTGGCTGTGTGGTACAGCGCTTGATTAGCAGACGTGGAAGCTGGGTCCAGTCCTCAGAACCTGACGACACAGCCAGAAAAGCAGAAGTAAGCCAAAGAGTAGCCGAAAGACATAAAGGTTAGAATGGAGATAAATGTTCTCTTCTTGAAGTTAGCTAAATTTTTAAGAAATGAAAGGGCAACTCTGCCAACAGTATGTAAATGAAAAGGTGGTAAAGAAATAACATAAAACTGCATGAAGCAAATTTCATAGGGTACAAGAGGTGTAGAAAGTCCTAGACACAAATGACTGAAATGGACTCGAGAAGAACCAGACCTACATAGACCTATGAGCCCTCGGTCAGCGGACAAGGAGAAGCCCAGGGCTTCCCACCCAGGAATCAAGGCAGTCCCACTCACAGCCTCGGGCAGGTGGGCGAGGTTGAGGATAGATAGCCTTAATAAAAGGGAAAAACCAGCACTGGAAAGCCACAAAATGTTGCTGAAAATATCTCCAAGGGTAGACGTGAGCAGCGGCTGCCCTGCCTGGGTCGGGAGGAAGGCCCCTCTGCACAGTGCCCTCCTGGGCACCGGAACCCTGGGGGCCATCCGGCTGGCAGCTCACCCTCAGCCCATGAGGCCAGCCCTGTCCAGGGGCGCGCTCGGGGAGGGGTATAGCCTCGCAGCTCAGAGCCACAGAAGTCACAGTCTGGTGCTGTGCTTGCTCACTTAGGGCCTAGGGTGCATTTTGTTTTACTTTTCTTAATTTTTTGTTTTAAATTTTATTTTAGGACAAGGTCTGTAGGGTCTCACTGTGTAGATCGGACTCATAGTGATCCTCCTGTTTACAGCCTCCCAAGTGCTGGGATTGAGCCCATGATGGAGGCACACGCCACTGTGCCCAGTCTCCATCGCTGTCGCAGCATGCTGCGGGGGGCGGGGCTGGCATGGCGGGCCCTAGGATGGGACTGCTGGCCCCCACGTCTGCCTAAGTAGGAGCTTTAATCTGCTATTTGGCCAGCCCTTACTTTTCTTTTTTAAAAATAATATATTTTTGAATTATCTTCTTCTGAGTAGTAAGGTTATCATCTTAATTTTTAACAATCTAGGTTTTAAAAAATTCTAATATATATATATGCTAAAGATTACAGGTGTGCTAGGCTTACAGGCATACACAATGTCCAGCCAATCTAGTTTCTTTTTTTTTTAAAGTTATTTATTTGATACAGGGTCTCATTACGCAGTTCAGACTGATAGTGATCCCCCTGTCTTAGCCTCCCCAGTGCTGGATTACAGGTGCACCACCATGCCTGGTTTTGGGACAGCTCAGTGCACCCAGAACAGCATGCAGTACTGGGATCGAACTTGGGTCCTTGCACTTGCCAGGCAGGCACTTAGACCACCAAGCTATCTCTAAACCCTCTAGTTTTTATTAATTATTAAATATTTTTTATTTTTTATTTTTATTTTTAAAACCTCGGTCTTCTATGATCTCATGTCCCTTGCTCTGGGTGTCATTGATCAGAAAATGCTACCGTTGTGCACTCCTTCTGGACCCTCAGAGCCTCATGCAGTTTTTGTTTATTTTTTGAGATTGGGTCTTGTTATGAAGTCCAGGATGGCCTTGAACTCCCAACGATCCTCTTAGCCTCCCAAGTGCTGGGATTACAGGGGTGTGCCCCACCCTGTGCCACAGCTATCTTTTAAACTGGAGTTGAGAAGAGTATTGCTGGCTTTGGCTTTGGCTTTGGCTTGGCCCCCACCCCCACTCTGTGTCCCCTCTCAAGGGTGGTTTTCAGTTATTTCCTATTGGGTAGCTCTGCCCACGAGGAACACTTACTTGTTTGAAAACATTTTACTGTCTGCTTCAATTTTAGAGCATAGCAAGGAAAGATACAGAATTCTTGCTCAATAGTTTTTTTCAAGCACTTTGAAAATCTGCAAATAATAAGTGATCTCTTGCTTCCCTTTTAAGGGGCTTTGACAGCGCGTTTGTTGGTCTTTCTAGGGCACTCCCCCTTTCCTGATGCTCCTTGTTTCTCCTGCTTGCTGCTTCTGAGCAAGGTTTCAGAGGTTCACGCTCACGCATGGCCTGCCTTTCTGCGGCCGAGCCCCTTAGGGGACTTGGCATCCAGATCGTCTGTCCCTCTTTTCTTTCTTCCAGGGAGATGGCTCAGTAGAATAAGCGCTTGCCTGACAAGTGCAAGGGCCTGAGTTCAATCCCCGGTTCTGCAAAAAAAAAAAAAAAAAGGAATCTTAGTCTGGGGTGTTAAGCCAGGCCCTTCGCCCTCACACTGAGCTCTGTCCTCAGCCTTTTTTTGAGGAGGGTCTTGCCCAAGTTCACAGGCTGGGCTTGACCTTGCGACCCCTGCCTCAGTCTCCTGGAGTGCTGGGGTAGCAGGCCTGCCCCAGTGAGTCCAACTTCTATTCCTCCTACCTTTAAGTGTCACCCTGTTGTTAGTCAGCCACTGGGTTGGGTTGGTTTGCATTCTTTGGCATCGTGGTTCTTTGGATGCACTTGGGCGTGCTGAAGTCTTTGTCTCTGACCAGCTTCGGTTTCTTGCTTTTCCCTACGTACAAGGCTGCTTTCCTCCCCACTTGGTGTCTGCTAAGTTTTCTTCACTCAGCAAGAGTGTCGGGGCTCTCAGAGGTGAGAGCTCATAGCCCTGCTGCCCCAGTGAGTGTAGGGCTCCGCAAATGAACAACTTCGATGAATATTTGGCAGCAGCAACAGTCCCATGGTCAGTGCCCTCCCGAAGCATTTTGGGCTGACTTCTTCTGCCTCACTGCGACTCTTCTTGGGAGATACTCGTCCTGATAATAGGCGTCACAGGGACAGGACTGTCCTCCCCGTGAAGACCTGGGGGCTTTCCGACCAGTCTACTATCTGCACTGGCTGCAAGTGTCTGCTGGCTTTGACAGCTGCTTTGGCCCCAGGTGATGGGGTTAGCACCAGGCAGGGCACGTGAAAGCTCTGCAGAGCCTGCCTTCTACATGGCCATTTTCCTTGAAGCCAGGCCCCTGGGAAAGCCGAAGGCTTTCTGTCCAAGTTGGTTCTGTTTCTGCCAATGTCATCATCACTATTTTGCGGAAGAGGTTTTTGGAATGCCTTTCCTGCAGTTCCAAAAGTGAACAACATGGTTTTAAAGGTGCCCTTTAAGGCTGGGGCAGGAGAGCCTCAAAAGCAGAATTTGTGAAACTAGTGACCAGGGGCCACTGGAGCGGCCAGCTGTCTTTACCTAGATTATCTCTGTGTTTGTGGCATGTTTGTAAAGCACAGGATGCACATGCCTTTGACATGGCTGTGTGTTATTCCAGTGTCACTGTCCCACCTACACACGAGTGTGGCCGTTCTTGGAGTGCTGAACAGTGTGTGTGCTCGGGGTCTCTGCTGGGTGCAGCCGGGGGCGGGCAGGCGGCTCTATCATCTCCTCCCCACTCTGCCGTTCCAGGTGTACCGAGCCACTGGGCCTGATGGAGCTGTGGGCCGGGGCCAGAGGATCCACCTGCAGCTATGGGACACAGCTGGCCAGGAGAGGTGCATGGCTTGGGCTGTGGGAGGAGCTGTGGTGTCCCGAGAAGATGGGGCTTCCTTCTGCAGGTCGCCTTCCTCTGGACGCACGCCTTGCCCAGGGTTGTTCTCTGTGGGCCTGCAGGAGGGCTCCGCACTGTCTCCCTGGCATTGGGGGTCGTGGCCCGAGGCCCCACTGAGGCAGCCCACAGGAAGCCGGCCGCAGACACTGGCAGGTGTCTCAGAACCCTCCTCACCTGGCTTTGGTTCTCACCCCCTCTTTTGGAGACCAAGTCTGTGTGGAGCAGTATGGTCCTGTCTCAGGAGTCCTGCATCACTGTCCCTTGGCTCAGCCTGCCTGCCCTGTACCTGAGGCAAACCCCTCAAGCGTCCTGTTACTTCATGTTTAACTACGTGGATTTTCTCTAAAAATAAGGGCTCTTTATTAAAATATCAGTGAAAAATAGTCGAGAAGACCTGAGATTGCAGGCTAATGGATGACAATGCCAGCGTTCTCTCCCTGGGAGCAGGGCCCCGAGAGGCGTGCACTGAGGGCCGGGGTTGAGGGGCCTGTCGATGTTGGTGCATCCTGCTGAAGGCTTCAGGCCTGTGGCCCCAGCAGGCCATGGCAGGCGACGACTCCTGACGCTGCTAAGCGCTCTGCTCTGTCATGGCCTGGAGCGTGACTGGTCTGTCTTGTGTCCCCAGGTTCCGCAGCCTGACCACAGCATTCTTCAGGGATGCCATGGGCTTTCTTCTGCTCTTTGACCTGACCAACGAGCAGAGCTTCCTGAATGTTCGAAACTGGATAAGTGAGTGCTCCTCTCCCTCCCAGGTGCCTGCTTCCAGCTGCCTCTGTCCTCAGTTGTCATGGAGGAGCCCCTGCCTCAAGTGCTGTCTAAAAGGACAAGGTTTAGTCAGACGTGTTGGGGTGCCCCTGTAGCCCCAGCAGTCTGGGAAGCTGAGGCAGGAGGGTCACAAGCTCAGCCCAGCCTGAGCAACTTAATGAGACTCTCTTAAAAAAATAAACAGGGTGTGGATTCATTTCAGCGTGAGGGTGCTGGTTCAAGCTCCAGTGCCCAAATGAAACAAGATGAGGTGTTTTGTTCAGAGCCTGAGGTGACTGCAGCCCCGGCCGGCCTAGGTGCGGGGCACAGCATGTGCTCCGGTTCTGCCCTGCACGGCGACATGCCCGTCCCAGAGGAAGCCGAGCCCGGGTTAGCCCTGCTCAGGCACCTGCGCACCGCTGTGTTGGTCAGAGCTGCTGCTGGCCTGGGCCTCACTGGGTCTGCTGCTTGCACTAGCACTTGGGGTGGCCTTGGTCATCTCTGTCCCGCTACTCTCTGCGTCCCACAGGACAGGAGCAGCTTGGGTTGCTGGTGCAGGAATGGAACCGCAACTGGGCAGGGCCGGGGCGCAGGGCAGAGCTGGCCTGGGAGGGGTGGGCTGCCCCCGCTGTGCCCCGCGCCCCGCCCTTGTTCGCGGGAGCCCTTCCTGTGGCCGGTGGAGACCGAGTCTCCACACCCCATCTATGGGCTCACGCAGGCGTGCACGGCGCACTGAATTGCTACTCTCCCTCCCTTTATTTATTCTGCTGACCCTCTCTCCACACCCAGCCCTGTGTTCTAACCCATAAGGACTCTGCTTACTTTCTAACACTGCCCCTTCATGTAGCCCTGGGAGGAGGAGAGTGCGCCCCTCCGGCCCACCATCTCTCTCTCCCTGCCAGCCCTGCTCCTGCCGTGTTGGTGGACGTTGGTAGTGAGTTCTCTGTCCTGTGAGCACTTTCAGTTCCTGACCAGCCTGCATTTTACATGAGTAATTCATAGCTTGGTAGAGAAGGTTAGAAAAAAGCCTCAAGACTCTCCAGACTGAGCTCTTCCCTGGCAGCCTTGCTGGGTGCTTGCAGAAGGCTTGGACGACTGTGCCGGGTGGCTCGGTCCCACATCCCCTGGGTCACCCCTGATGTTCCCACAGCACCCTGCTTGGGTAGGATCTGGGACTGTGCACTTCCCACCAGCTCTCAGGCCCCCTGGAAACTGGGAGTTAACTCAGTCCTCTCCTCCTCTGAGAGGGGAGTGCTGTCCCCGCTGCCCACACCTGGGGAAACTGAGGCAGGCAGGCAGCACCTTGCTGAGGGTCACCAGTAGTGAGTAGCAGAGTGCTGGTGCTCTTGAGTGCCCGTCATGTTTCCTGAACACATCTCTTCTGTCTGCAGGCCAGCTGCAGACGCATGCGTACTGTGACAACCCTGACATTGTACTGTGTGGCAACAAGAGTGACCTGGAGGACCAGCGGGCAGTGGAGGAGGAGGAGGCCAGGGCCCTGGCTGAGAAATATGGGTGAGCATTTTGGAGCAAAGTCCAGAGGGAAGTTTCAGTATAACCGTGAGCACGTGAAGGGTACTGAAAAAGAGTAAAGCATTAAATGAAAGGCTCCGCTGTGGGCCGGGGTGGGGTAGAGGACCCGCTTTGCCCACTGGGAGCACATGGAGTGGATCCACAGCTGAGGCAGGCACGAGCGTGCACACGTGGCCGCTTGCCCGTGTGAGTGCCTTGCACAGGCGAGCTCTCTGCATCTGGGCGCAAGGATGCGCAGGGACGGGAGTGCGCTGTCGGTGCTGACTAGGGGGCTCGCCGGTCACTCTCCTGTGACACAGATGGGGTGCGGGCCAGGTCGGCGCCACGACCTCCTCTGTGATGTCCCTGAGGCTTCATCTGCAGAGGGCAGGTGATGACACCGAGTCCTCCCGCGGCTCTGGATTCAGAGCTGGGGAAGAGGAGAAGCGCAAATGTGACCAAAGCGCGACAATGGGGTGCATCTGTGTGCCAACTGTGGGTGAGACCAGGCATCTCTGGAGTGGACAGGAACCCCACTATCTCAGCAGGCTGCCCGGGGTCACTGCAGGGGCTTGGTGTGGCCCCAAGGGGCCTGGGCATAGGGCAGCAAGGTGCAGATCTGACAGCCTATTTGGAAACTTGTCACATCTCACTTGGCTTGCTGGACTCCCAGCACCTCCTCCAGCAGGTTTTAAACCCCATGATTTGGTCACAGCCAAGGGTGCAAGGCAGCAGTGTTGGCGGAGCCAGGGCAGCCGGCAGGAAGGGCATCGGGTAGTGCCCCAAAGACCTCCTGGGTCTCACTCTTCGAGGGACCTGACGTCCCGGCCGTGGGCCAGGGCCTCCTGCATGCTTGTGGTCGCCCTGGGCAGCGCCTCCTGGAGTCCTGACCTTCTAGTCTGCGGGAGTAGGTAACAGAAAGAACCCATCTAGAAGTGGGCTGGGCCCTGGGCGTGAGCTCTGGGCCTGGAGGTCAAGAGCTGCAAAGGATGCTACGCTTCTTGGTTTAAAGTTGCTTATCATTTAAAAAAATTATTTTAAAATTTGTGGTTAGTCTATTTTAAAAACACGTTAAAATTAGTCGTCTGCATGTACTCTGGACGGCCATTCTGTCTTTGGCAAAACTGCTCTGCAAGTGTCCCGCTAGCGCCACCACGTGGACAGAGGGGACAACAGCGTCTCCTGGGCTAGAGCAAGGACTGTTGGAGCCAGCGGCAGCGTTCTGTAACCCTAGCTGCTGCGCAGAGGGCTGAGGCAGGAGGGCTGCACGTTTAGGCTGGCCGGGCAAAATAAAGTTGAAAAGGGCTGGGGATGCAGCTCAGCACTACCTTCCAGTACTAAAAGTGGGGAAAAGAGCACAGGTGTAAAAACAAACAAACAAAACCCCCCAGGTGTGTGGCCTCTCATCCTCTTGAAGTCAGGCTAGGACCAGGTGCACATTTCTGTCCTCTCCCGGGCAGTCGTCACTTGGGTCGCCTGAGGACCTCACCCCAGGCCTCCACATTCACAGCAGGGCTCGGGGGCCTGGCCCCTGCCCCTCGTGTGCTGTCGGAGAAGCAAGGCCTGGCTGCTCTGAACCTCTGAGGAGGTCTTGAGGTCCTGCTGCCTCAACCTCCCACGGTGCAGGGACTGCAGTTGTGTGCACCACGCCAGGCTTGCTATTTTTTCCTGTTATTTCTGAGAATTTCTGTTTATGCACTATGTCTATGTGCGTACCAACTGGCCTGAGGAGTTGCCTGGATGGCCGGGATGTGGCCTCGCTTGTGGGGGTGTGGCGCAAGCATCTGTTCGGGCTGCTCCTCACCCTTCAGCTGTGTTTATAACACACGCAATGGTACCAGAGTTTTACTTGCATTACTGAGACTTTAAACTTTTCCCATTTAAGATTTCTATTTTAAGAAATTCTTCCTATTGTCATAAAAGATAATCTCTTATGTTTTCTCCCAAAAATTTTCAAAATTTGCTTTTCCTGTAGAGAAATTTAAATTTTCTGTATCAAGAATTAAATTTTGGGCTAGCCAAATAGTTCAGTGGATTAAAGCGCCTGCAAGCGGACACTGGGGCCAGGGATTTAATCCCCAGGCCTGCCATGCTGGCCCCACCCCGGGGCTCCTGAGAGGGCAATTGAGACTGGGCGTGGTGGCACACGCCTGTAATCCCAGCTCTTGTGAGGTTGTGAAGAGGCAGATTACTACAAGTCCAATCTAGTAGTGAGACCCTGAACACCCTGTAGACCCTTCCCTAATTACAAAGAAAAAAAATTCATCCAGCAATTGGGAGGCTGCAGCAGGTGGATCACCATGATTTTGAGACCATCCTGAACTATGTAGTAAGACCCTGTTTCAAAAAACAACAAAAGGGCTGGGAGATGGCTCAGTGGAATAAGCGCTTCCCTAGCAAGTGCAAGGGCCTGAGTTTAATCCCTGGTTCAAAGAAAAAAAAATCTTAAAATAAAAAACATGTATTCTCTGAATATGAAATTTTTTTCAAGAGAAAAATGGCCTCATTTTTGGAAGTGGCTAAGATGTCTGGTTCGGCTGTAGCTCCTGGGAAGAGCAGAGTGGGTTGTTCTGCTCTATTGTTCCTCGTGCCTGAGCGCCCTGGGTGGGTGATGTCCCTGCTGTCTTTTTCTTGAACTTAACCACTGACATTGTCTCCCTAGTATAAGAACTCAAAAGAGGAATTACATATACAAAGGTACAACACAAAAGGAAAGCGAGAACTTGAGGAGTGGACAACGAGGAGTGGGCAAGGAGAAAAGCTGGGAAACAGGACAGGGCAAAGCCATGCCCCTGTACTTGTACGCAGGAGATGGGTGGGGCAGTGATCCTGGAGGACATCAGCAGGTTTTTGAGACTAGCGGTTGGCTGGTGAGACGCTCACCCTGACTAACTGTATATGCTGGTGCCCGTGAGCCAGGCGGCTGCACTGAGGATGGCGATGTGTAACAGAGGGGTCACCCTTGGAGTGCCTGCCATCCTGGTCTTCTAAATATGCACTTCTTGTCATGACATACCACTTATTGCCATACTGTCTCTCAAGTAAAGGTTTTATTTATTTTTATTTTTTTCTTTTAAAAGAAAGGTAATAAATGAAAAAAAAGACGAATAAAAAAATCACAGGTCTGTCCTGTTACAATGCTGTATATGGTTAGATTTCTAAATTTCTTTGTAAAAATATGTAAATGCTTACTTCTAGTTTTTAAAAATTATTTTACCTTCATATTCTGTAAGGACTTAAAGTTCAACATATCAATATTTGAGGGTCGGGGAGATGGCTCAGTAAGGGCCTGAGTTCAATCCCTGGTTCCGCCAAAAATAAAACAAAAGAAACAAACAAACAAAAAATATTTGATGGAAAATACCTGTTCCATGATGTGCCAAAGATGTTTGATATTTAGACAGATAGGGTAAACCAAACTGCATATATTGCAGGTTAATAATAAGCTTCTCTTCTGGAGGGCTAACAACCTAAGTTAGCAGATCAAAATTGGAGAATAGGAAGTGCTGCAAGGTCAGCCAAACTTTTGGCGCTAGCCTTTCAAGGTCAGTGAAGACTGGGGACATAGGAGAACCTGTAACGTAACACCATTTAACTCAGTTGTGTCCCAAATTTTCTGATCAAGGAGATTATGGAGCCACAGAGGAATGTGATCGATGATGTAGAGTGTGCCTGGGGAGAGTCACATGGAGAGAAAAAACATTTTCTCAGGCTTTCACAGAGAGCAAATTGGTCAAGCAATGGCCGTGACTCATCCACATGGCTGACACTGACAAAGGTTCTACAATCTGAGGTACAGGATCTCAGGATAAATCCTGAGGGGATTTCACTGACCTTATCAGACCCAAAAGCTACAACTCTTGTTGTATAGGTCTTGCTATATCTTGGTCTTAACCAGCCAGCAAAAAAGTATAAAAATGAGGTATATAAAGTAAAGCCATATTAATACAATGAGCTGTAAAAGGCTCAAGTCAATAACTTCTGAGGATGACCCACTAATGTCATAGACTGCTAGACAGTGTTGGATTGTTTAGCTGAATTCAAACACCTTAGTATTTAGATGCCAATGGAATACCCACCTCTGACAGGACTAAACAAGAAAAAGGGGATACAAAGGAAGGACCATTTTGTATTTATATATACGAAATAGTTAAGATAGGATATACAGCTACTTTCACTCATTTCAATGAGCAGAAAGATGTGTACCAACGGTGTTTGGACAGGATATCCTGTCTGCTTCTTGTACTATGGATGACCACTAAGAAGATAACAATATACACTGTATTGATTATTGAAACTGTCCTATTAATCAGCTTTGAAACTGTCTCATTTTTGTTTCTCAATAAAATTAAAATAAATGAAATTCCAGCACCAAAAAACCCAAAACACTGACATAGAGACTGTGGCCTGTTCTCACTGGGCTGTCTCTGTCCACAGCATCCCCTACTTTGAGACGAGTGCTGCCGATGGGACGAACATCAGCCCCGCCATCGAGGCCCTGCTGGACCTAATCATGAGGCGGATGGAGCGGAGCGTGGACAAGTCCTGGATTCCCGAGGGCGTCGTGCGCGCCAACGGTCACTCCTCTGCCGATCAGCTCAGTGAGGACAGGAAGGCGGGGTGCAGCTGCTGAGCATGGCGGGACGGCCGTGTGCGACGTGTGGTCCTGAGATGTCAGGCAAACCATTTCTCAGCAGCCCCTCAGACCTCATAACAAATCGCCCGCTTTTTAATGTCTGCAGCTTTGTAAATATGTCTTGAAGATTCAGCCAGAGCAGTAGCTCTCAGGGTCCCAAGTGCCTTATAGACAAGCCCTCAGCTCCCGGGTGGTGGCCAGGCAGGGACCCAGGGTTTTGCAGGGTGAGTTCCTGTTGTATGGGACATTGTCACTGGCCCTGACAAGGAAAGACCCCAGCTGTCCTATTCAGAGCTTAGATGTGATCAGAGTGCTGAATCCAAACTTAAAACCTGCACCGTAGGTGACCTTCTCCACTGCCACCGTGGCCACG